AGAAACTATTCCAGGGATTCCAAAAATTCGTCCTGGTGGCGATCTAATCAGCGGAGAATGCAGGGTTGAAAGGAAAAAAAAAATAGAAGACATTCGTCTTCAACTGGGGGTATTTCTCCGGGGGATCAGCGCTATCTCCTTCGATTCTCGTGTGCACGCACCCCCCGGCGTGACTCCAACATGATATACCTGGGGACCACGCCTGTTTATATATTCCACGGCAGTTTTTCGGCTCGTGGTGTTTCTTAGCCGCACAGCCGAGGTGGAGGGAGCGGCGGCTCCCAGGTGGGGAGTTAACGACCCTCCCTTGAAATTAAGGCCTCGGTATGCCTCTGAGAAAGGCCTTCCGAGTCGTAAAAGTAATTGATACGATAAAGAAACACTGTTGATTACACGGCTTTACATGAGGATACTTTCTTTTGTTTCAGAGTGGGTCGACGAGACAGCAAGTGGTGAGTGATAATTGTAAGTTATCAGTAGCTTTCTAGGTTTTTTATTCACTACTTTCTACCAATTCTTAACTTGAATTTGATGAAATCACGACGTAAAATTCAGTAGTGAAATTTTGGATAAAAATTATCCCCCCGTAAAATAAAAGTGCATGGGTCATCCTTTCCTCAGAGGAACATACAGTTCTTCGGCAGAGTTAATTTTTTCTCTTAGTGAACGAATTCACCGAAGTTTCATTCACAATTTCCCGCGATCTTTCTATCAGTGGAAATTAATTGAAAGTTGTTTGTCTAAATTAACCCAGTGGATTAAATCTCAATTTGAGATTTTACTCCCCCCAGCTTTTCTCTCTCTCGCCCCTCCTTCCTCCCGAGTCCCTTCCCCGCGCCCTTCAGCCCTTCCCGCCAGGTACAACGCAGCCTCGGTTCTCCTCCCAGAGAGAGGGGATTTCTCAAGTAGTCAAGTGAAGAGGCTCTCATGCACCATCAGCGACGGGTTCAATGTATTTGAAATTTCACAATGAGTGCTCTGAGAAGACATTCCTCACCGAAGAAGGAAATTCACCTGAAATCCCTTCTCTCTCAAAACGTAGACTCTAGACCTCTGGTGACGCGCACTCAATAGCTCCTATTCACTCAACTCTATTTAGACTTAAAAACGAGTATAAACATGGAGAGAAATGTAAGATTAACTTTCGCTTGGTATTATTTCAACCAGAAATTCAACAGTAATTACAGTTAAAAAAAAATTTTAATTATTGATTTTTTAAAAATCTAGTTTTCGTAGATTTTCCTTAAAATTTCAAACTTTCAATGACGAAATTCCTTTAAATTCCAGATTTAAACTACAATGTGATGAAAATTTCTAGAAATTTCAGCCAAAAATTTCAGTAGCGAAACGATAAAACGTTTCAAAGTAGTATGAATAAACTCCTGTTGTCATTGAGTGTAACGAAGAAGAATAAATTCAAAAAGTAAAAAAAAAGTTGTTCGTCACTGATAATTTTTCTACGAATTCTAACTTTTGATGGGTGTAAGAAATTAATCCATCAGATTCTTCAATTATCAATAATACCTATTCATATTACCCTTCGTTTAGAATTTATTCCAAATGTTAATCTTCAAAATTCAAGTCATGTTCATACTACTTGAAGTCGACGTCCTCCTTGCATGAGTTTTCGCGAAATATCTCCGAATCCAAAGCAGATAGCAACATTTTCATAATAACCTTTTTTGTACCTCTCAATTCGCCCTACAAAAAAGGTCCTTACAAAAATCCCCCTATCTGCCTTAGATTTCGAGATATTAATTGTAAACTGACCAATAGTGAATTCACTCCAAATTTTAATGACATGAGTTTTCCAGAAATATCTCCGAATCTAAAAGAGCTAGCAACATTTTCGTCATAACCTTTTTTGTACCTCTCAATTTGCCCTACAAAAAAGGTCCTTACAAAAATCCCACTATCTGCCTTAGATTTCGAGATATTAATTGAAAACTGACCAATAGTGAATTCACTCCAAATTTTAATTACGTGAGTTTTCCGAGATATCTCCGAATCTAAAAGAGCTAGCAACATTTTCGTCATAACCTTTTTTGTACCTCTCAATTTGCCCTACAAAAAAGGTCCTTACAAAAATCCCACTATCTGCCTTAGATTTCGAGATATTAATTGAAAACTGACCAATAGTGAATTCACTCCAAATTTTAATTACGTGAGTTTTCCGAGATATCTCCGAATCTAAAAGAGCTAGCAACATTTTCGTCATAACCTTTTTTGTACCTCTCAATTTGCCCTACAAAAAAGGTCCTTACAAAAATCCCACTATCTGCCTTAGATTTCGAGATATTAATTGAAAACTGACCAATAGTGAATTCACTCCAAATTTTAATTACGTGAGTTTTCCGAGATATCTCCGAATCTAAAAGAGCTAGCAACATTTTCGTCATAACCTTTTTTGTACCTCTCAATTTGCCCTACAAAAAAGGTCCTTACAAAAATCCCACTATCTGCCTTAGATTTCGAGATATTAATTGAAAACTGACCAATAGTGAATTCACTCCAAATTTTAATTACGTGAGTTTTCCGAGATATCTCCGAATCTAAAAGAGCTAGCAATATTTTCGTCATAACCTTTTTTGTACCTCTCAATTTGCCCTACAAAAAAGGTCCTTACAAAAATCCCACTATCTGCCTTAGATTTCGAGATATTAATCGAAAACTGACCAATAGTGCAATCAACTCCAATTTTACCGCTCCCCTCCCGATTTCCACGAACCCAATTTTCCCCTCTCCCCTCCGCCCCACGACCTCAAAAAAATCCAAATTACCCTAAGCACCCCCCCCCTGAATTTCCAAAAAACGCGACAAACACAACCGATAAAAAATGAAAAATAAAAGCCACCCAAAAAAACCGAAGATTCTGTACGTATCGCGAGGGGCGGCGGAGGGAATTCTACGGGCGATACCGTATCGAGAGAGTCGTTGGAAGATCAGCGTCGAGGAGCGAATTCGAAGGGAAGTGCGGCAGCGCTCGATTCCCGCAGCGGGTGAAGGGGCTTGGGGGGGAAGAAACGAGGGATGCTCGGAGGGAAGGGAACGACGAGGCAAAGATACCCATGCGCCGCATTCAACGTGACAGGCCGTCGTCATGTGCGCGATAAAGACAGCGCGATCCCCGAAGGCCGCGCGAGAGAGACCCACTCCGGAGAAAAAAAAACCCTGATATGGAAGAGTGCCGATCCGCCGGGCTGAAGTGGGTAAGGATAGATAGACGACAACTGGAGTGAGACGAAGAGTAAAAAAACCCAACGAATCTTGGGGGAATAAAAAGAGGAGTCCGTATAAGAGCAGATATTCCGCCGAGTAAGAAGAAAGTGCAAAAAATATATATAAACAGTTGAAATGGCAGAGAGTTGCGAGGGCTTCAGAGCAGATCTTTACAGTGCATCTCCTAGAACCGAATAAAATAAGAGGAAACTAGTGATGAAGAGGGGCATGAAAGCGCGAGGAGACGAGTGAAGCTTTTCCTAAAAATATTTCGCCCCCACATTTACATGACGACAATGTGTGTTGCGGGGATCAACAAACACGAGATGCACCTTAAATCTTGTTCATTCAAAGCGACCCCAGCCTCAGTATCACCTCGAAAATGCATTTAAGTATGACAGTAACAGACGAAAAGCCCTCGTCACGGCTCAAATAATGTAGTTGTGATCATAATCCAAAATTTAGAGCTCCAGGAGTAATACAGAAACGCATGGCGTAACAACGTGCTGAGGATGAGACGGAGGTGTGACACTGTTGATAAATATAAAGCAAAACTAGTGCGAGAGAGACGGTGATTGTGTGGTTGGTTGTGCAGCGCCACCAGCAGCGCCAGTGGTGGCGGCAGGCGTGAGGCCAAGTGAGCACGCGATAAAGTTGAATCCCCGAAGAATCAACGAGTGGAAGAAGGAGAGAGACTCAAGCCCGACAGAGACAGCTCTACACTACTAGTTTGCGTGATGGAGTGAGAAGCTGAAGCAACGGGAGACCCATTCATCTTGGCGCGCCTAGAAGGCGTGCGATTGGCCAGTGCTTCGTAAGGCCGTAACCCGATTGGTTAACTCTGTTTACCAGCTGGTGCTGTACCAAGGAGAGGGGGTGCAGGAGACGAGCGGCGCCATTATTGTAAGGGGTTACATTTAGCTGGCCATGGTGTAGTACCCGGCGTTCGGGATAGGGGGCTATAGTACCTTCATGCATGGCCCATAAAGGATTCGTCGACTATCCGAGAAGTACGCAAGAAACGGCTTCTAACACCTGACAGGCCGCGGATCACCCGTTTGTCCCGTGTCCCAATCCAGCCCCAATTTCTACTCTCGGTTATACATTGAACAGCTGTGGGGTCTTGTGGGGGGCCCCCCGGTCAATTATTTTCCCCGACTTCTTCTACTGTAATCATCGAAACTCATTCATTTCGTTGTTTGGCCTATTGTTTTGTGGTGGACAGTTTCGTGCGATGAACCATTTTTAGTGATTGCCTTGGTAAGGAGAAAGTTGAAACATCTGGAAGTGGTGAAAAAATAAAAAATAAATAACGAGAGGGACAGTGTTTTCTAGTCTTGGGGTTTGGCAGGTCAGTGAGGGATTCGGTCGCAAGGTCGTCGTTTATTTTGGCATAGTGTGATGTGCCCGGTTGCGTAAGTGGTAATAAAAAGTGAGGGTAAAGCACCGATAAACAGACGTCCACGGTAGGAGAGGGACGAGGTAACGCTGCTGGGTATGGACTACCAGGAATCATAGGAGGGGGATTTGTCAATACAACGTGTGAAGTACATGTAGTTTGAGACGTCAGTCATTTACCGTTCGACAATCTCGGGAAGGAAGTGTGTGCATACGGAAGTGCATAAGGGTGTATCGTAAAATCCCCAGGATTGTTGTTAACCATTGTTGAGAGAGAGAGAGAGTTTAATAACAGGTGCGACAGGATGGCAAGGACTGAGCGTGACCAGTGCGGGTGTTGACTTGCCCATCGGGCTGTTGAGTTAGCTTCGCTGTGAGCAGCGATGAGTTCCAAATTTATAATTGATAGTATGCTACCAAAGTATCACCAGCAATTTCATCATCAACAGTTATTTGCAAGCGCCAATCCAAATTCAGTTCAAGCCTGCTCCAGTGGCTCGTCAACAGCGAGTCTTGAGTCTAGTATATCAGCAGCGGCTGTTGCCGCTGCAGCTGTTAATTACGCACAGCACAGTTCACCATCGCCAACAGGTTCAAGCCCCCAACACTCGGGAAGTTCAGCATCGACATCACCGGCGGCAAGAACTACCTCGAGTATGTACCCATACGTGTCCGCTGCGGCGGCTCATCATCATCATCAGCAGCAACAGGCTGTGGCAGCAGCGGCCTTTGGTGCAACATCATCGATGGTACCTGGTTTTGGTTCATCAGTGGCATCAAGTGCAGCACTTGCCGCTGCTGCTGCTGTTGATGCAGCAACCGGTGACAAATCGTGTCGTTATACAGCCAGTCTCACTGGAAATGTAGCACCTAGTTCCTCAGATCCAATGGTCAACTATAGCCTATCTCATCATCATCAGAATGGTGGTACAGCTGGTGGTCTTGTATCGTCAGCACCAACTTCGTCAGCAGTATCAGCAGCATCGGCTTCTATGGCCGCCGCTGCACAGTTCTATCATCAAGCAGCAGCTGCCTCCGGTGTTGTTGATCCACTCACCTCCTGTCAGCAACCCACACCTGGACAGCCTGGTATACCTGATATTCCGAGATACCCGTGGATGACCATCTCCGGTGAGTCTGTCTGGAGTGAGTTGTGAAACCTTCACGCATGTTAGACCAAAAAAAGTTGCATGGTTTGTTTTTCGTCTGCCGTCGGATAGCTTCTGTTGTCATGTAGACCTTGTCATGTAGCCCTTGTGTGTCCGTCATATTATCAACGATCATTGTCCACTAGTTTGATAGTTCCTAGTCAAAACCCCCCGTTGAATTTTGATGGAAATCTATAAATATTTTCCCTACAACAGAACAACTAACGACGTATGTAGCGACAGAAAAGAACCGTCGGGGGCTGGCATCAGCTGGCGTCGCTTCAACCCAGACACTTTAAGTTTCTCAAACAATTGTATATCTTTCACAATTTACGTAGGAGGCATGAATCATTCGGGATTTATCGCATGTGGCATACCGAAAATCCTTTGAAATTGGAATGTTTCAATTTAGTTATTTATAATTTAACACTTAGCGATGATTCGTCGAATCATCCCACGGCTTTCAGCTGCATAAATCCATCCCGATGAGGATCTCATTCAAGCATAAAAATTCCGATGCACCACAATCAAGGGACTCCAACGGCAATACTAAAAATAAATTCCACCAATTTACATTCTTCTTACAATCGGTAAATCGTGAAAGCATAGCCTTCATCATCACCCATCGATCGCGCTGGAAAGATCATTTGGAATGAAAGGCAATTCCAAAGAAAAGAAAGCACATCTTCAGCGGAATCTATTAATTTCCGGCAATTTGTCTTTTACGATTGCACCCGGAGGAAAGCCTCTTCAGCCAGAAGATCCACGCCTTAGTGCTCATTTTCCTGGCATATCGTGAGATTAATTTTCTTTTTCATTTCACTTCTCTTTCACTCGGAAATCAAGAATAATTTTATACTGTTGAAGTGGTCCAACTTGCTGCAATAAAATATATATAATGACAATGAGCACCGGGGCTACTAGGTCGCGGCGGTTATGGACTGCATCTCGATTAAGTTTTAATGGCACTCGGATATGCTAATCACCACGAACAAGTCGGCCATTTCCCCAACAGTGGCGTTATTATGAACCCATTAGCATTGAGCATCAACTTCTCTTCGTTTCTAGGGCGTCTCGTGAGCCAACAATGAAGGTGTGCACCATGTTCCATGTGGACCACACGTGAAGTCTAACATCTTATTCATTTCATCTTATCTCTTCGACATTGTAGCTTTTATAACTGTCGTGATATCACAGTTGCCTCTTTGTTCGTTGTTCCGATATTGAGAGACTCCAATGAGAAATTCATCGTGATGACGAGCCCAGAACAGAGCTGGCATTCAAATCCCATCAACAGCTTTCAGTTTGAGAATTTTCTCGTGCTATTTTGTCGTCAATGGTTTCATCTTATGGCAAAAAACCTCCCGCATTTTTGGCACAACGTGCAGAGCGCAATATCCATGCTACGAAATTCCGAAACAGGGGAACGAGGGAATAGCGGATGCTAGTGGCGCCGTGCTCAGCGAAGCAACTAACGTTTGCTTGTCCTATTCTCTCGTCTGGTTTCTAAGGCATATATAAAGATTGATTTTCCTCCTTATATCGCTTTTCTTTCGCTCGGAAATCAAGAACACTTTCATGCTGTTGGAGTGGCCCAACTTGCTGCGATAAAATATATATAATGACAATGAGTACCGAAGCTGCTGGCTCCAGCGGTTATGGACTGCATCTCGATTAAGTTTTAATGGCACTCGGATATGCTAATCACCACGAACAAGTCGGCCATTTCCCCAACAGTGGTGTTATTATGAACCCATTAGCATTGAGCATCAACTTCTTTTCGTTTCTGGGGCGTCTCGTGAGCCAACAATGAAGGTGTGCATCATGTTCCATGTGGACCACACGTGAAGTCTAACATCTTATTCATTTCATCTTATCTCTTCGACATTGTAGCTTTTATAACTGTCGTGATATCACAGTTCCCTCTTTGTTCGTTGTTCCGATATTGAGAGACTCCAATGAGAAATTCATCGTGATGAGGAGCCCAGAACAGAGCTGGCATTCAAATCCCATCAACAGCTTTCAGTTTGAGAATTTTCTCGTGCTATTTTGTCGTCAATGGTTTCATCTTATGGCAAAAAACCTCCCGCATTTTTGGCACAACGTGCAGAGCGCAATATCCATGCTACGAAATTCCGAAACAGGGGAACGAGGGAATAGCGGGTGCTAGTGGCGCTGTGTTCAGCCAAGCAAGCCACGTTTGGTTGTCCTAATCTCTCGTCTCGTTTCTAATTGCGTCTCGTTGAAATAGTTCGGCACGCGCCGACGACTCGTTTCCGGCCGTTACCCCTTTTCCCTGCTCCGAAAGCATGTGTTTTCCGTGGAACAGTTGCGCCATCTACTACCCCATACCCCTGCATACGAAGCTTCGATTTCAGTTTGTTTTAATTGCATCAGAAGTTCGTGTCATTTATTGCTGGTTTTTAGATTGTAGTTAATGGTTATTTCTTCTGGTTTCAGATTGGATGAGCCCTTTCGAGCGAGTCGTCTGTGGTAAGTCGGTATTCATAATTAACTTCCCCGTTTTTCGAGTCATTTTTTGTAGGAATTTACGGGGTTTGAAGATTACTCTTCATGTTTAGAGTAAAACAGCTTTAATTTTATGGATAAAATATATTTTTATGGGATATTTTTAGGGAGTTGAAAAGGGTTGATGGCCTGAATTTGAGATGCTTGGAGGAGACTAATTGAGATTAATTCAACCCTTTATTTGAGAATTTTCAAGAAGTAAATTTCAAAATTGAATGTCTTAAATTAAGACTTTGAATCGATCAAATTTTTATTTTTTTGAAACTTTGATTGAGTCATGAAAGGTTGAATTTGAAGATGAAAGCCTCGATATGAGCCTGTCAAACTTCCATTTAAGCTTTTCAAAAAATTAAAAAAAGTTTTATTGTAGGAATTCACAGAATTAGAAGATTACTCTTGAAATTTCGAGTGAAACAGCTTTAACTTTCTTCAAAAAATCTGTGATTTGCTTCCAAAAATTTCAATGCAACATTTTTATTGATTGAAAACGGGCTGATGTCCCCTCTTAAGATGCTTGAAGAAGTCAAATTGAGATTGAGCTTTTCAAAAAAAAAAGTCTCATTTCATGCCCTTGAAAATTTAAAACCAAGTTAATTCTCTTCGCGCGTAGAAACCAAAAATGACGATGAGGCAAAACACGATGTCACTAATACCGTGAAATGTCTGCATTCCCGGGTGAAAATTTTCCCGGAGTTTGGGGCACACATGGCTGCCACATTCCCGAACCGTTTTCGTCCGTCCGATTCAGTCATCAGATGTATCAAGTGTGCAAATGTCTCTCTGCCCGATTCTCGCATAATTATTGCTGCGTAATTTATCTGTTGTTAGCGGAGATTGACGGAGCCCGAGAGAAGCGGTGACAATCATAACTGAGCCTTGAAGTATGCAACTTGATTGCACCGGCGACAGCATTGTTGCACTCTTCCAATATTTTAAGATAGCTAACGAGTTTGTGACGCAAATTTTTAGACGACATGAATATTTTTCGAGGAGTTATGGAGATTACTGGGGGTGATAGCACTCTAAGTGCATAATGGCGCTTGTTAAGATAGTGTAAACATTAAATTCTGGGGAAAATGTTAAAGTGTCGGCGCTGGGCGGCGCGGGGTGGGGGGCAGTCACGTGAGTTCGGAATTGTAGATAAATGTTATGTGGACGTGTCAGGCAAAAGTTATGCTTGCGGTCGTCAATTCCAACTGTTGTCGCCGTTTTTTTTCAGGGGGTTGGGGAATTCAGCGGATGAGGCTGCATTATAGCTGTTTATTATTTATTTTAAAGGGAAAAAATGTTATGGGCAAGTTTTGGGAAAAATGAGGGGAATTTCAATTTTTTTTCGATTCAAATTTTTCGGTTGAGGTTAAGGATGTCAAGTTTAGGGAATTTTCTAAGACTCATGAGAACATTATTCGAAATTCATAATTTGAGGGAGAAATGGAGGGCATCGTCAATTTTAGTTCAATTATTCTTTGGAAATTAATAGAAATTGGGCGGGTTCAGAAAAAAAATTCTCAAAATAGCCCTTAAAAGGACTTGAAATTCAACAGCAATTTAAATATTATATTTTTTCACTTAAGAATTATTTCTCTCGATGTCTTTAAAAAAAATCCTTAAAATTCGTGATTGAAAAGTCTCGAAATCTTGAATTTCAGCGAAATTATGTGAACTTCAATCCAAAATTTACGCGAAATTAGTGCAAAAGCTCAAAAAATTGGAAAAAAATTACTATTTTCGTGTAAATCTAGAAGTGAAGTCTCAAAATTTTTGTTTTCCTGAAAATTGAAAAAACACTTGTTTTATAAATTATAAAATGCAGAATATGAATATGAATGAATAAAATCCCGTAGAGGTGCCCCAGCAAAACAGCAAAAACAGTCCTGAAAAGTACTCGAAATTCAAATATTTTTTCACTTAAGAATTTATTCTCTACATGTCTTTGAAAAAATCCTTCAAATTCGGGATTGAAAAGTCTCGAAATCTTAAATTTTAGCGAAATTATGGGAACTTCAATCCAAAATTTCCAGAAAATCAGTGCAAAAGCTCTTAAAACTGAAAAAAAATTATTGTTTTTATGTAAAATAAGAAGTGAAGTCTCAAAAATTTCTTTTTTCATAAAATTTCTAAAAAAATGTTTTTTAAATTACAAAATCTACTATTTCCGAACTGAACCCCGAACATGAGTGAATTACAGCCCGAATAATTGACTCGGTCTCCCAATACCGATCGCCCATTCACCCAGCAGTAATTATGAATAGCATCCCGTGGAGGTGCCCCATCCAAACAAGCAAAATAGTCCATAAGCGGGCTCAAAAGCCCGCAATGACTGGCAGTAGCCGAGCAGCGATGCCGTCGATGGTCGGTGTAAGGTGCCCATGGGTAAAACGTCGTTCAGGATCATAAAATCATTACGTCCCGGAGCTTTACGCCAACACAGACCACACCTGATCCTTGTAAACCAATCTCGAGTGTTTGGACTCGGGAGACTCGAGAATTTAGCTATATTTTATGACCCGAGAACCAAACACCATCTGATACAGACAAGGAGATTGTCGCACGGTCAGAAATATCTCCACATTCGGCCGAACCGAACTTGCGAGAATAAATCCCATGTCCAGAGCCAAAAGGTCGTATCTTTGGGCAATATTTTTTTGGTTAAAAGTGGAATGTTTTGTGTTCAGGCACAACTCTATAATTATTCATGTGAAAATGAATTCTTTCGAGTTGACTCGAGTGTTGAATAAATTTTCCTGGTAAATTCTTCAATTAATTTTGCGGACAATATTTTATTTAATTTCACACTTGACTCTCGTTACGCATTTGCTCCATATAACAAACAGATCGGCATCAATCATCAATTTAATAATATTACGAGAAGTTGCTCCTTACGATAATTGAGATTTACTTATCTTCATTGCAATTTGAAAAATAATATAATAATTGGTATTTGAATTTTTTTCATTTGACTATTAACTAAAGAATTGACAATATGACAAAGGATTTTTACATGTAGCCAAATAATTTTCAAACTTCTGACTCAATTATTGGTTAATTTAATAATCCAAAAATTGGTGAGTAATATTAACAATTGAAAATTGAAAATTTAACTTTAATTCAAAATAAATAAACAAAAATTCCCAAGCTAAACATCGGAAAAACAGCCACAAATTAAATTGAAATGAATAAAACAACGCAATTGAAACAAAAATTAAATTAAATCGAAAGCTCCCAAAATAATCCTGATTTTACGACATCTTCAGGCAAATCTCCGCAAAAAATATGATCTCAAACTACTCCAATGGAAGAAATGGAAATGCACCCTTGATTAGAATCGTCCCGAGATTGTAGGCAAAGAGGATTGGTAAATTTTCGTATTCCTTGAATAGTAAATCGGCTTGCGCCGGGGGTTGCACGTGATACAGCACGTGAATATCAGCCGAAACTCGATGGTTGCCCTACGCCGAGAGGGCATTTGCATAATGGCATTCTTCGCTTTTATCGCGATCCATATAATATACGGTACCTACCCGCGGCGTCTTTCGCCTTCGCGGTGTTCCCATTAACCTCTTTTACCCATTATACCTCGTGCCCGCAACGCGCTCGTTTCCTTTATTTATTCTCTTTTCGTCTCGTCTTCCCTTCAAAAATCCACCTCTCAGCCTTTTCTCCTCGCCAATACTCTCTCCCCGTCAGCTTCGTTGCGTTTTTTCCCCTCTGTCTGTTTTCTTTTTTTAACTCCCCTGTGAGAGGTACTCCGCGCTCTTTTTATTCAACTTCCATCCGTCCATTTTGTATTCATGTCTGGAAAAAATTTAATAGTGAAAAGCGAAATTGAAACTTTTTGTGAGACGATGATATGGAAAAAATTGTTATACAATTTTCCAAAATCCAATTATCAATCTAATCAATAATCTTATCCTTTTTTTGTTCATCGCCCATCACTGAATCTGGAAATTGATTTTTTTTTTCGTAAAATGTACAGAAAAAATTCTTATTTCATTTTCCAAAATCCAGTTCTTGAGCTCAATTTTTAAAAAGAAAAGTCTATTGGGAAATTAAATTTTTTCTTTATTTATAGAGAATTATTCACAATTTTTAAAGGAGTTGCCCTTAAGATGAGAATTTTTCTTTCATCATCGAATTTAAAAAAATCAAAAATCAAAAATGCAGAAAAAATTGTTTGTCTGAATTTCAAACATTTCTTTAGATTTTTTTTTCAATAAAACCAGGAGAATAAATCCGAAAATTAACGGTTGAAAAGACGGAATTTTATGGATTTTCTCAATGAACTTGGAAATTTCAGTTTAAAAAGAAACTAAAAACTTTAAAAAACTCATTTTTCAATTTTTTTGAGAGTTGAAAAAACCTCATTTTTTTACTTCTTTAAAAATTACAAATACAAAAAATTTTTTAAATATTTTTTTTAATTAAAAAAATAAAAAAATGTTAAATTTCATTTTTTTAAATTCTTCTCTCACTTTTTCTCGTTGCCAATACTCTCTCCATCATCATTCCGTCTCTTCCCCCTCTCTCTTCATTTTTTCCCTCCCCCTGAAGCATCCTCCACACTCTTTCTATTCAACTCCCATCCCTCCATCCTGTCTTCTCTTTGTTCGCAATCACGGCACGTCGGGAATTTCAGCGAGGAGTCTCCCTGATACCAGGAAAGCACACCGAGAGTTGAGGTCTCGTGGAATAACCATTCCTCTCGTCGCTTGAATTATTTTCAACGAAAAATCCATGGATAAAAGGGGCACCACCAACTAATCCCGAGGTTATTGTACTTAAAGATATAAAAACCGGACGGTGGTGGTTGTGTACAGCGATAGACAGTGTAACCTAAAAATATAAAATAAGTCGTAAAACTCTGGTCTCATTATCATATTAAATTTGATGAATTATTCATAAAATGGGAGAAAGGACACTAGATGGGGCTGCACGAGCATATCAATTCTTTTATTCAATTGTTC